GATCCGTCCAATGGTTTGAGCTGTGCGTTGATAGCAGTCAATCAGCTTACTGTTTTTTATATACAGATATGGTTGCCATGGTAATATGGACACACACACACACACACACACACTGACATACATTCATTTTTATATATATAGATTGATATCAAATCTTGGTAACCTTAGTAACCATGGCAACCTTGGTAACCATGGTAACATGGACACACAGACACACAGACATACATTCATTTTTATATATATAGATAATAAATAATAATAATATAACAGTAATAGTTTTTTATTACGGTTTAAATTCTAATATTATTTTATACATGTTCAAAATATCATAATAAGAGGGTAATAATTACCCATTAATATATTATATTGGGTTGTGTTGATACACATTTTTAATTTTGTGCAAAATAAACACCAATGTCCAAACCTAATCACACATAGGTGGCTAAGCAGTATATATCATAATATTCCTGAGAGAGTGTTGTTTTTTGTCTATAGCCTTTAACCTAATAGGTATTTAATAAATTGGCAATCAATGTAACGTGGCACAAAACTTAGTAACAACTATTAAAACATTTTAATTTATTTTTTATCAATTTCCTGCAACCATGATTCAACTGTTTTCTTAGATCATAATATTATAAACTACCTATATATTAGATGATCTAAGACTATTGTATTATTATTCCTATTTATAGTGTTATCACAAAATATGACATAATAAACGATAAAATTAAAAATAATTATTATCACTAATTACTGAAAAAACAATTACCAACTATTAATTATTATTATTATTTTGTTATGTTCATTATCTTGACAAACGTGCAATATAGCGATACAAATTGCGTTTACAATTTTCAATATTTTAATCGGTCAAGGGTTAATTTCAAACGTATTAACTTGTTAAGCAATTTGAAATGAGAATCATTGTCATTGCTATGTGCTTGGTAAACCGGTAAGCTGACTCATGTAACTTATGTGAGGGTCTCATAATATATAATATAGTATAAATGTTTTGATAGTATAACATTATTCAGAACTTTGAACTGCATTTCTTTTCTCATAAAGTTGAATAAAAAATTATTGATTTCTTAAATTGTAACAAAATGTTTTCAAAATGAGAAACGAGTAAGATGTTCTTGATCCTTTTAAGACACTATTATATAATAATTAGGTCTCGGATTTTGTAAAAAATGCTTATTTTGAGAGGAGTGTCATAGAAAGATAATTCTTATACATAAATACGTTTTGAATCGTTCCGATTTTAATGAAGTAAACTTTGTTTTGCTTTTTTTCCACAAAACCATCATTTTTATTGCTTTTTCTCCTATTTGGTTCTTTTTTCTTGATTTTTAAATATTTTACTTGAAAATGTAACTTATTTCTATGTATATTATACTTGGACTTTATTATTATAATCAGAAATAATAAAACCAGTGAAAAAACCAGTAATTAATGTATGACTGATAAAATACATTCAAATCTCGTCTACATTACATCAAATTTTGGATTTATACCACATGCAATTACACAATTAGAAAAAAGAGGTATTTTTTATTTTTGTTTCAAGTATTTGGTGTATATATATATTATTTTTTTTTTGGTGAGACCTTGGCAAAAAGGATAGGTATTGTGTTAAAAGCAAAACAAAAGTTAGAGGAAGCTAATGTTGAAGTAGCGAAATTGATTTTAGAAAAGTGCAATAGTGTTTTTTAAAGAATAATGGATGGGCAGAACTTCAAAAAGTCAACAGTATTCATAATGGCACTGCACTAAACGTAAATGTGGAACAGTATGATTCAAATGATTTAGTTTATATGAAATATGCACCGATTACATCGGTTGACGTGGAAATTTCTTTTTCTATGTATAAAAATATATTAACACCCAATAGAATGAGTTTTAATCAAAGTAACTTGACTAAATATATGGTCGTAAATTACTTTTTTAATATTTAATTTTATGTGTGATTGAAATTTGTTTTTTTAGAATTAAATTAATAAATGCTTTTTTGGCAACTTAAAATGTTTTTTTAAGGATTTATTTTGCTACAAAATCCGAGCCTTAATAATAAGGATATTATGCTACCCAAAATTCGCAAAATCTAACCTAACCTATACTATATAAGACGCATGGTCCTTAAACTCATAGGTAGATGGAACATGCTAGGTCCGCGGGGTTGGATGGAGCGGGCACGGCAAACTGCGTTACAGTGATGTATTATCATAATAAGTCGATATAACGAAAACGTTAAAACCAAAAACCAGAAAAGTTACAAATAATACTTAGTACAAGTTTATTCATGATTCGTTTAATTCGTTAGAAACTTGTAAGGACAATGTGCAATAATCATGATATAATACGATGATTAAGTATTTATGATGTTTTTGTTTTTAACTATGAAGAAACTGGGGTGGTCTACAAACATGCTCAGAAGTGTAGAACAACACGATCAGTGTTACGTCACGTTGACCGCTCAACTACCACCCACGCTCTGTCTATGAGGATAAGATATATGACAAGACGTGATATTAGGTAGGTAATAGACACCAATGTACCATTAAGTAATACTCTATGGTAACTATGAATGTAGTATATAATATATATATATTATAGCAACTTTTGTTACCATCTCTCACAGTGTATTTATTTGGTTACCACTGTTGCCAATGACATACAGTTTCATTGATAACGGTTTGGACGGATTTGATTTGTCTATACTTTTAAATTGTAAGTATTAATTTTGATTTTTGATTGAACAATATAGTTCCTGATGCATTTGTGAATATAATAGCTACTTTTTCGGATGAAAAACAATTTTCATATTTTGATGACCTGTTTGACAATTGAATAGCTTGCTGAAACAACAAAATTTGTAATTTAAAAAGCGGACATTTGCAGATACGATTTATTTAATAAGAATAAATATTTAGTCATCAACTATCATTGAAATGTGTGTAGTTTTGAGTTATTCACCTGCCAAAATTATCTTTTTAACATTACAGTCAAATTATGTGTGGTATTTAAAGGTGTACAGAATGTACGGTTTTGAACGATGCTCGTAACATTAATATTATGTCGGACTGATAGCAATTAGTAGAAGTGTAGAATCGATGCACTTTCTTTGCACTCGGATTTCCGAATTGTTCTCGATAAATCTCTTCTGCGAATCGCAGGTGGACCATATCCGGTGTGCTTTTTATTCTACACTCGATTTGGCGTGCTACACTTTAATGGCATAATATATTATTATATTACATTCAGTACCTCTACAATTTATATTGCGATGTATTAGTGATACCTTACGATAAATGATGTTGAACATTTAAGTATACGTACTAACGATAGTACAACACGTCAAACAATAATATTATATTATATTTATCTGAGAGGGTGGGGGGAGGATATTATCCGTGTGATTATTAGAGCAAATTTTTTTTATTTTATTTTTTACATTCCGATCGGAGCAAATGATCCAAGTAGCAGATTATATTATTATATTGTATAGTTTCACTGCAATTACTCGTTTTTTCAGGGTTGAGACATTTTGTGAGTAGAATAAAAGCTAAATCTAATTTCTCCATACAACACATTTATAGGTTTTGATAATTTCAACTAGGACATTTTTAAATAAAACCGGCAAAAAAACAATCATAACCATATTGTGTCTGGCAAATCTTGTGTCTCGAAAAAGTAGATAAGTGCACAGTTGTATAATACCTTCAAAAGACCTTCATCCACACCTTGTTGTTGTTATGGTCGACGGACGACAGGTTAGTATTATTGCGATAAGTCGCAGTGAAATAAATAATACCTAATAATAATATATGCCACACAGTGATAGGTACTGTAATCAATTAATGGATAATTTTATACGAATAAAATGTAGTGTTTTTCCTCTAAATTTTTAGACTTAGATCTTAGTACAAAAGTCCATATTACGTTATATTTGTTATATTATTGTTTGCGCAAGTAAAATCATAATATCAATAATAATAATAGTATTTATAATTATGGTCGCCCTGGGCGGTTGCTGCGCAATTCCCTTTTTATACGCAAACGCACCCACAATTTACTATACGTTACGATATTATATTGGTATAATATGTAAATCGATCGTATGCAACTATAATAATTATAAATAAAGTAGGTACGTCGATGAGGTGTGAAGTGAATGCGTTAAAAACATACTATTCTAACATACGATTCTGACACTAATCTAGACACTGTGCTGTGACTATTGCAGATTTTAACAGAAGTTAATAATTTCTCGTAGTACCTTACTGTAGCGTTTGAGTTATAATATGATCATTATTATTATTATTAATAAAGTTGATACTGCTTATAATAGCTATAAATACTATACTTGTAATCCAGTCAAAAGACTTTTGACCCAATTTTTTTCAGTACTTTCTAATATAGCTGGTCAACTACCCTGACTGTCGTAAATTATCAATTATTATTTACCATACTTTAATATGTGTAATATGCATACTGTGGTAACTGTGAAACCTGAACTCGTCATCGATTTCATAGGATTTTGTCGTTATTTTAGTTGATTACAATACTGCAGTTCTCGACTTGGGGTTAGGCACCTGTTGGAATAATAGCCGTCCTAGAAGTCGATAATAATTGTTCGTAAACGTCATGTCAAATCAGAATTGTACTCTTTGGCTCGTTGTTATTAATGTTACAATATATCTTGTAAAAATTAAACGCAGTTTCGGACTATCAGGCATATTATTGGGTACCTGTAATGTATTCATATAACCTTCACATTACCACGTGATTTTAAGCTGGAATTATAAAGACAACGGCGGGTCGAATTAAATACATATAAGTTCAGTATTGTATATAAATATAATTATAAAAATAAACATAATAATTTAATATTACACATATAAATAAACATATAAATAAACTTATAACTAAAATAGTTTATCATTAATTTAAAAATTAGAACATTTGAATAGTCTGTTGGTTAGGTTAGGTGTAAAGTGTTAGTTTCTTGGGTACAAACTTAGCCGACTGAATAGGTTGTTGATTTGGTCTTGTATGTCTTTTGGCAAATCTTCGTCTACCTGTTCGTACAAGAAATGTGCTACTTCTTTGGCCTGAAAATGCGAAATAACATAATATAGGTAATACTCAAAAAGCCAGACGAAACGAAAGTAATCAACGTAGCACTATAAAGTGGACCACTACTCACCTCTTCAGTCCAAAAGTCGATGGGAACGGAAAAAAGTCCGTCAAAGTCCACGTCGAGTCCACGGGCGTCGAACGATTCACGGGTAGGCACAATACCGATAGGCGTTTGTTGGGCCGTACCAGGTTCGTTGTCTATCCGGCGCAAAATCCAGTCCAATACGCGACAGTTTTCACCGTATCCGGGCCACATGAATTTTCCCTGGTTGGACATGTGTCATTAGTATACAATTGAATTAAGAATGATGATTTAAGTTGGGTTATGGTAGTAATGCGAACCTTGGTTCACAACGTATCGTACGAGTACCTAAACGGCAAGTCTCAAGTAGTCAAGTATATGATCAAAAAACTGTAATCTCTAAATTCATATTTATAAATTGAATTCATCTGTATATTGAAGTTTATAGCATAAATTAATGTTTTTTTTCATTGGCAGTACCGTAAGGCATAATAATATTTAAAATGAAATGTATTTGGAACTTTTAACCGGGGGTTTTTAATTTACAAGACGACGTTGAATAGATTAAAAGCCGTAGGCACTTCTATTTTCAGTTATGGTCAAAATCGACATGATTTGTCTGGCCTTAAACTACCTATATGAGGCTGTGGATATTATATCAATACACTCACCTGGTCGTCTTTCCTGAACCAATTGACGTGGAATACTTTGGGCACCTTGACGTTGGGTGAGGCGGTCTCCATTGACAGCCAGTGCTGCAGGTAGTGTCCAAAGTTGTATCCGAAAAACGGCCTCATGGCAAACGGGTCGTGCATGATTTCCTTACCCTTGTGCTCGGCGGCTGCGGTGGCCTCGGACTTCATGGAAGCACCGACGTAGACGCCATGCTTCCAGTCAAATGCTTCGTACACCAGAGGTACGCCAGCCGGACGTCTGCCCCCGAACAATATGGCGTCGATTGGCACTCCCTCCGGGGACTGCCAATCTGCGTCGATAATCGGACATTGTTCGGCTGGTGTGCAAAACCTATAAAGATAATGAGGGTCTTTGTAGTACGGCAATTTATTAAGGTGACTATTCCCTAATAGGAGTTATTATTTTTAGCTTATTGTAAATAGTTATTTGTTGTAGTTAACTGAATAACATAACTAGTTCTAATGAACATTTTTATATCGTTGCTTTTTCGTTAAGAATTTAAAGTTATGTTTAAAGATAGGTATCCATCTATAATCACGTATCGAAAATTGAAAATTAATCAAATATTTTATTTTATTATTAATTAATAACAATATATGTATATAGATAAACTAATAACTATGTTTGTTCATTCAGTAATTTATTTAATAAACATGTGGATTATCTTACGACTATAATAGAATGAATGTTTAATAAAATAGTTTACAATTCAATTTAAAAATTGAAAGTTGTTAAATAATTATAATAGTGACCCAATCACTTAGGTTGTAATTAAATAAAATCAATTATTATTTTTTAAACTGGGTTAAGTTATTATTGTTCTTCATATTATAAAATTCAAAATTGTATTGTTCAATATGTTATTTGTTAACGATATTATCTTATCGTTGACTTAACTTAATAAACTCAAGTTATATTTTCTTAAACTTTACAACTTTATAATTTTTGGTCAATATTTCCATTAAGAGCATCTCAATACTAGGAAATGTATGAATTCGAAAATCGAGATATTGTGAGTATCAAGAATTATGAATTTGTAATGTGGATATCTGAAATTTTAGAAAATCTGAATTTTCACATGGAAATTTGTAATTGATTTTGGCATCCCATACGATATATGCACTTTTGTTCGCTTTACTTTGATATAAACACTCACCTGGAGTTCGGGTGCGCAGCCGGTGTGCTGCCGGGTGTCCATGGATTGCCCTGCCAGTCTGTGACGGTTACTCCGGGCTCCAATTTGTCCATGCCTTCCCAATATACACCACCATCGCTGGTCTGTGCTACGTTGGTGAAAATCGTATTCTTGAACACCGTGTCCATGGCCACAGGATTTGTGGACCTGGATGTGCCAGGCGCCACGCCGAAGAACCCGAATTCTGGGTTGATAGCTCTCAGCTGCCCATTCCGGTCAAATCGCATCCATACGATGTCGTCGCCTACACACTCCACCTTGTAACCCGGCAGTGTAGGCTGCATCATCGCCATATTGGTCTTGCCACAGGCACTGGGGAACGCGGCCACTACGTACCGTTTCCGACCCTTCGGATTAGTCACGCCTAAGATCTGCCGTGTAAAATAATATATTTCTCATGAATTCCCAGCAATATAATAACATCCCGGATGGTTCCGAGGGGAATAGAGATGAGAAAACGAATCGAAAATAAGCTCATGCGATCCTATAATACGTGAATTGTGGCGGTCGTGATAATAGGGAAGTATAATTTGTTTATCATTGAAGAATCGCATTTCTTAAATCATTAAATATAATATATTTTAATATTATAATACACCGTATATTATTATTTATTACTAAATACTAACCAGCATGTGTTCTGCAAGCCAACCCTCACGGCGAGCTATCGACGAACCGATTCTTAAAGCGAAACACTTCTTGCCCAGGAGCGAGTTTCCGCCGTATCCGCTCCCATAACTGATGATTTCGTTCATCTCAGGCCTGCAAAATACCACAAGCGTTAACCTCACCTGATGCATACTAACCTGATCTATCACCTAACCACACGAAAATTCCAAAATCAACTAACCAAAGTTTTAAGCCAGTGGGAAGTAATGTATTTTAATTTCTCGACTCATGGTAATCAAACGTAAGATTTATCATTTACGTTCTTAATTCTAAATAATTTCTTATTTTCAAAATATCTAGGAAAAATATAAATTCAATGATCCGCGATGATACTTTAAAACGGGCCCAATATGGACTCCGTATTTAATATTATTTACCATTTACATATTACCTGCATACATAATGATTTCACAACATGTCTAGGAATTGCAAACTAAAAGGTATACTAATATAAAAATAACTAAAGTGGATTCCTGGATACCATTAAAAGCCGTCTTAGTTTCGTTGTAACATTGATGTAAGGAGGGCCTAAATGGGTACAATGCATACAACGTTTCACAGAGTTTGTGTAATTTCGTTATTTTACTCAAAGTGTTTATCGTCATAATTAGTGTAATTAATTAAACATTTCTGCCTCACTAACGATATCGATTCACTGAAGGAACTGAGACACCCAAAGCTATTATGATGTATACTGTATGGAGTATAATATTTCAAAGGTATGAGTGTATGACAATGTCATAATATGAGAATTTAACAAATAAACATTATATCATTATAATAAGTATACTGACTTGTGCAGGATGATAGTACGGTCAGGATCACAGGGCCAGTGTGGGTGTTGGACGGGACCGTCGGCAGGACGGCCAACTGAATGCAGGGCCTTAACGAAGTAACCCACACCGTTGCCACCGTCGTCAAGCGAGTCGAGTTTTTCAAGCACCTTGGTGCCGATCCTGGTCATGATGCGCATCGAGCACACGACGTATGCCGAGTCAGTAAGCTGTACTCCAAGTTTTGAGTACGGCGAGTCCAGGGGGCCCATGCTGAACGGTATTACGTACATGGTTCTACCCACCATGCATCCCAGGAACCGTTCAGCCACCGCACTGTCAGCATCCTCCAGACTCATCCAGTTTCCCAGCATCCCCTTGGCCGAACCCCTTGGCACGTTGACGGCGTCCCTCCGGTTCGTGGTGCATATGAACGTCCGGCTCTCCACCCTGGCCACGTCCCTGGGACAGCTCCTGGCCAAAAAGCTGTGAAAAAAAATTGTCATGTGTTAGATCACGGTTAAGAACCTCTATAAAGTGTGTACAGGTGGCTAATTAGAATGTCTGCTGGTTAGGATAGGTATAGAACGGGGTTTTCCCTTCTTTCGGCATAGTATTCCGTTTCCATGGCAACATTTCAAAAGAAAGTTATTAATTGTCCTTTAACACAAAAGTACATCCATTTCTTTCATGTTTTTCTATTCGAATAAATAGGTGTGTTTTAAAACTAATGAATTTATGTCCTTTTTTTCTGATTATAATATTGGTGCTCTGAACAGTCTCAAATTCACAAAACTTAAAATAATAGTTTTCGATTTCACACACTAACACGAGGTTACCACGAGACACGAGTTCACTTTGTTGCACTTATTTTGCGGGTTGTAAGCCCAAATATAGTGTCATATTAGACAACAAACCATAAAAACTGAAGTGTGAAATTTTCGAAATGCGTCTTTTACTACATTAATAAATAATTAAATAATAGTTATTATTACTATTTGGATCGAACACATTGTGTTTCTATCGCGCGCGCGAGGTGAAATGTCAGCTAATATTCTTTGGCGCGTAATTACATAAAATCCGCCTTATTTCTCAGATTACATTTTTTAACTCATTGTTAAATCAACATTACATTATTATTATTATCATCATAATAATCCGCCGTCCATGATAGCTTGTGTAACCTATATTATTCTCCTATCTACTTTAAATAATTAATAATCAACGATTATAATATAATTAACTTATTTTATTGATTAATTGTATAATTTGTTTTCGATAAACACGTCAGTTATATTATCATTCTTACGACTCAACAGCTATAATTGCTTAAGGACATCGAATGAGATTCATAGATTGTAGACACATAATCCAAAAAACGATAATTATTCACGAAATATATTAAATTAATATGTGATAATTATTTTTGAATATCACAAAGTTGAAAAGTAAAACGAACAATATTTTAAATGTTATCGATTATCAATTAGTGATATTATATAATAGCAAATTTTAATGTTAGTAATCTAGAGCTAATATTTCGTTAACTTATCAAATTCTATTGAATCGTTTAAATGTTTTGAAACAGGTTTCAATTAACATTTTTGGAACTTAGAGTTTCGCTCCGTGAGTGTTATTTAATTGTTTCCAAACATCGTTTTAAAATCAGCTGCTATAGTCTCACTATAAAAACTATTTTGCTCTTCGCGGGACTTAGATTATTCGATTTGCAGTGGATTCTCAAAAAATTTACCGTAAAACTTCCACGCACAAAATTGGAGTTCAGTCGAAAATATTTTTTATTTCCACGGAGCTAAATATTGGACTTTTTATGTCACTGAATAAAATTGAAATCTAGTCCGAAACGAAAATTTGCTCGATCCTTTGCCGTTCCATTTTATATGGATTTTACAATATTATATATTTATGTTTTCGATACAATACAATATAAAACGTGAAGTATGTCGCGTTTATGTTTTAGTTAAATCGTATTTTTTTCACCAACTCAAAATACGCATCGCGTTCAAAACACGAAAACAAAGTACATAAAACCAATATCAGTTTTTTTTTCATCTATACACATTTTATTATGTTATTACGTTACACGAAATTAGTTTTGGAAATTTATTTGTACATCGACATCGTAAAATAACGAGTAAAATAACAACTTTCAGCGTAATAAACAGAAATTGCGATGCTGCTGTATTATTATTCAACGTGCGTATTTATTTCACGGACAAATATATATATATATATATATAGTAATAACATTATATAACCACCCGATATACAGGTATAGTGATTAAAATAGATAAATTAAAAAAATTAAGACGTAAAAAAAAAATGTTTTTTTATTTAAACGCAAAAAGTTACCATCCACCTATAGTCTGTTACAATATTATAATATTTGAAAATAAGTCAGTGGCATTTTCGGTCATTCAAAATAAAAAAAGAAACGATTCGTAGTCGTATAACAGCAGTAGCTACACGTGTTTGATGTGCGACTTTCGAGTTAGCGGAGAAAATGAATTCCCCACACGTCGTATGTGCAGTTATTGATTATTCCTGTCCGTACACGCAGTGCACGCTTATAATAGAATTGTTTGTTTTATTTAACCGTTTTCCTAATTTTCCGTCTTTCTAAACGTGGGTTGCCGTTTTCATCTGGAAAACTGTTGCGCACGTTTTCCGAGAGAGAGAGAGTTTATAACCGACGATCACTTTTAAAGCACTATAAACGAATTTCCGCGATCCGGACGTTAAATTAATCGAAATTCAAATTTACCACGCTGTAGTGGTGATGGACTTTGATCAGTGATGGCGGTGTGAAAAAGACTACCCCGTAGGACCCTAGGGAAACCGGAAATACGCAGAATAAGGTGCCAAAGAATGTATAATATTGGTCGACATAATAATAGAATATAGATACCTACTCTAGATAAAGAGAAAGCCACTGTTCGTAATTGTGTCATATCGATATCAATTAGGTGAAGATGAAGGTTTATATCATACATAACGATAATCATGAAGTTATGTTCTGTCTTAGATGTCTGTTCGAGTACTATCAAATTCGTTGAATCAGTATAATAGGAATTCATTCAAACAAACCATTATGAATGAGGACTTTTAAAAATTCTTACGATACAAAGTGATCTCAACAAGTAACTATTTTGATGAGATAAACGATGACAATTATTATAATAATATAATAATAATGATAAAACCATAGAAGTAGACTGTCCACCGTCATCAAAAAAAAAGAAAAATTGTTATAACGTTTCGTCATTATTATATATCAGACTAACCAGTTTTGGTACTTTGGCAACGGAACGATGGTGCGGTTTTCCAGCAAAAGTTCGATGAGCATCGAGTTCTCTGCTTCAGATCCATCGCAAACGTACACGTTCGAAGGCCTGCACAACCGAACACTGTCCTCGACGAAATCCTTTAGCTGTGTAATCATTATCATCATAGTTATTATAATATTCAGGTATAACAATTAAAAATACAATAATATAAACTAGCCTATATGACTACCTAATGACCATACATCAATAGAAAATAATAATAAAAAATGTTTAAATGCATTATACAAGTACTAAATTAGTTCATCTGTAATTCTGTAACATAGTCTATTATATAATCAAACTAGGTTTAAATAACAAAAAAAAATTTAATACTTATAAAAAATTGTTTTAAAAAAAATTGTAATTTAAAACAGTACTTATCTTACTGTACGGTTTGGTGTTTATGAGGTACAATTATTAGCGTCTTAGCAATTCAACAAAATAATATGTTGTCGTTAAATCACAGAATTACGTCATGGTTTTATATTAATTATGGGATCAGGGTTTTCGCATAATATGATGTTGGTATTATAATTTGTTGTTCAGATCTTTAAATTGAATTGATTGTTACAATATTATCATCGTTCTATAGAATTTCAGATTATAGCTTATAGAATCCATAGATATTATGTATATCCGATATTGTCGTACAAAATATTGTAACAAAGACTTATAATATTTATTCAATGGCGCACACAACACAAATAGGGCAGTGGCCATACGAGGGAGACGCGTTATAATAACATTATAATATCATTTTTGTTAGTACCTTTTGGGGCAGCAACGATACAACGCTCAACTTCCTGACCGGCTGCGACCCGGAAGCCCACTGTAAATGTACCTTTGGCCGGCAGTGTGAAATGTCCCTGTGAAAAAAGAAAATATGAATAACGTAACCGTTATATTATTATTATAATTCCACGGAGTGGATAAATATTATCAGGTATGTACTTACTCTCCGATACTGTCGAAATCAGGCATTTTAATTTTTTGTTAAATAGCGATACGAGATATGAAAACAACGTCAAAAAAACAAAGTGACCACGGATTCAAATCAGACGACGACTTCAGGTGTCACGTTTCATCGGGATTCGACGTGCTAATGTAATAATATAATATTATCATATTATGGTAAAACGAACCTGTGGTGATGGGCTGCTGACGATCGACTAAACATCAAACTGTCGGACGATCCGTTTTTAAGTGTACGCTCAGCGTAATCTGTTTACACTGCGTTATCGTTTCCCACCTCCAACTCCAATTTCAACACGTGACCAGACAGACTCCCGACGAACGCTGTGTCGTATAATATACGATCTACTCGCGCGTGCCCTATACCGATATAAGCGCAAGGTGCGTGTTATTAGATTGTGGTACCATGATAATAGGCATAATGGGTACTATAGTAATAAAGTGCTATTACCTACCTATTACCTAGTTAATAGATGTATGCATAATTCACTGTTTAGACGGAGATTCTATTGTTTTCGTTTTAATCACATGTCGTTGCAGACGATGTAGGTAAGTATAACAGGTATTTAATACGATATTCCAATAATCGTAATAATAACAATATGATGATGTTATGAACGAAATTTGCAAGATAAATAAAACTAAAAAGACATTAAACGCGCTACGCGCTATTAGATACCTGACCTATATACGTTTTAGAATTCAAATGTTGACCATTCATATCTGTATATAGACAATCATTTTACTGCTCAAATGTTATATTGTACCCTACAGAAAAATAACATACAATGTACATTTTTAAAAAGTTTTCCTTCGACGTAAACATAAATCTGCACACTTATTATATGTCCAGGGATTGTTATTTTTGTCAACAACAAAACAAGTAAACAACCAATATTGGTTGGACTTATTATATTAACAGTTTATAACAGCTTATATGAAATTGACGATTTTTAGTATAACCATACAAATCTTGAATAAAGATAACCAAGATGAAAATAAATTGGTTCGAAACATCTAGGTACTAAAAAAAAAATGATATTAAATAATTTAATATTTGTGTTTCTGAGTACTTGATTTGATTTGAAAAAATAAAGCATACCGGAATTTATTTCCCTACAAATTATGGAAAATAATAGAGCTATAACTCCTCAAGGTTGAATTTTTATTTACATTAAATTAACGACTGTGTAAGATGATCATGTGCATATCCATTCATTCACATGTGAATATCCCCCTTTAAAAATGGATTGCATGCTCTTGTTGCTATTTTTCCTAACGCGCTAACTATTACAAGTAAGTCTAATAGACTTCCAAGCAAACAGTATAGGTACTGAAAAAAAATTTAAAAATGTTCCAATACCTTCTGTAAATTTTAATTTTTTAATTTTTATGAAATCGTGTAAAAAACAAGTTTTATATTATGAAATAAAAGCAATGATTTACTGTGGTAGGTAATTTACTACTAAACATGGTTCACCTAATCAAGTAGGTACTTTTACCATCACTTAATAATTACAATATATGAATACATCTGAATACAATTATTATAATATGAATCTACAATATTATATTATGCATAATATAAAACATAACATAAACATAAATAAAATGTGTATAAATTATTCTCGTCATCCTTTAAAATTCAAACCATTTAAAATTATATTTAATTATGGGTCATTTTACAATAATAATGAAAAAATCAAAAAAAAATTGTGTAAGTGGATGTCGCTCTACTGTACAGTAGGTTACAAGTGGGTTATTGTATAATGGATTGTATTGAACTTGAATTCAATGATATAATATCATTGTATAAGAAAAACGATTCTGAGAGGAGACGGTTTGTCAGTCTGGATATTTTATATTGTTATTATTTATTATATCATGTAAGTTGAATTAATATTATAATATTATTACTTTTTATTCGTTTCTATGGTGATAAACAAAGCGTTGGAAATTAAAATCCCATTTTTAGCGGTTTTTCGTAATTTTTCGGTACTTTTTCCCGTGGCATTAAATAACTATTGATAAAATCGAAAAATTACCTCTCTAAAGTACCATCTTGATAAAATTTACTAAAAGATAATTTACCATATGTTGAAATCGAAGCACTCCTTCTGGCAGAAATGTTGTATACAGGATATAAAAAAAAAAAAAACACCATTGTAAAACCACTAGCTTCCTCGCTCCGCTCAGAATCTAAAAACAGGGACAACACATAAAAACAACTTGTAAATTATATGATAATAAGATTATAACTGTGTTACTTCGTCATAAAATGCGTCATTTTCTTCATTAGGTATTTTATATAATCAGTAATATAATCCAATGGTTGTATTTTATTTAATTTTAGTTCAGTAAATTTGTCCCGGTAAATCTAACGATTAACCCCGCTTTTATATTGTATTGGTGTGGTTATACACAAGGTGCAGAATGCAGATATGGGGTATTTTTGGTATGTTTGTATAAGCATAAGCATAATATAAGTATATATACTTTTATGATAAATATTATATGATAGGTATGAACGAAATTTTAGCTTTTGGTTAAGTAATGTAAGCATTTCCCTAACTTTTTTCAAATTAGGGTGGACTGTACATTATTATACACCATCATCATTATCAGCTATGTCTCACTCAGTTCAGGGCTTAAAGTGGTACGTATCTATACATTTAAATAGGTAATTATTATTACTTTAAACTTTTAATTTTATAACGGTGTTGTAATCCATGAGGGTGGAAGGTTCTAAGTTCTTGCACAGCCACATGTTTCGAAAGAATGAAGGAATGTGTTGGAATGGTACTCCTTTTTTAAGAGCCATGGACTGTGTGCATAGGCTAAGCCATAGAGATTAAGTGATTTAAAGACTACAACTTTAGCTTTTATAAGGTTTTGGATTCCAAGATTTGCTTTTTTACACATGTTTTGAGGATGGATAAACCACCTTTTATACAGACTGAATTTATTCTGACTGTTGCAGCTCCCATGGAATCCAAACAATAACAAAGATGAAATTTATGTTGTAAGTTTATAACGTTATAATAGTTAGCGTTTAGTAACTAGGTTACCCTTAACGGCCGATGCCCAATATAATAACGTTACACAACCTATTTTGCGTTACAGAACCTAGGTGGTTTGGGGTGGACAGCCTAATTTGTATTGTGCCAAATAAAAAAAAATAGAGATGTGCCATAACAGTTTAACACTTGTGTATGATTTATAATTATATAATATATTTATTCATTTATTAGGTAACATAAATTTCGATTATATAATGATGCTAATTTGCGTTTAATTTGAATTTAAATAATAATACAATTGAGGGTATAATATGTTACTTTGATTCTAGTTTTATAAAAAAAATTAAATGTTTTTTTTTCTTGTTTCGTTAAAATCTGGTACTTATTTAGAAATCTGAAATTTATATTGTTATTTGTTAAATAATTAGAATATAAAAATAATGCATGAAGTTCTATGAACTATTGAACTAATATTTAAACTATAAAACAAAATAATTTAACTCTAAATCTGAATTTATTAATACTTTCAATATGTACGAAAACAGTTTTAAAATATATTTTATATTAATATAAGGAGCATTAATGCTAATTTTTATCAATGACTACTTAGTACTTACTAATATTTTTTGAAAATAATGTTAATTTTTTTTTTGTTTAGTTGTAATTTATTGTTCTTACAGAAACTGGGCATGATGTAAATAAATGTGCTTATAATTTGCCAAGTTCCCAAATGTTCTACACTAATGTGAAAAGAAACAAAAGTGATCGTATAATTGTCTTAAAAAAAAGTCTTCTTAGATTTTAAATTTGAATGAATGAAGTAGCAATAGTAATGAAGTAGCAAATGTTATTAATTTAAAATTTGATGATAAATCATGCAATGTTCAATTTAATTTTATATTTTTATAGATCACCGTCACTTAATAATAATGCATTTTTGGATCTAAATACGAAATAATTAATAATGATAAATAGCTACAAGACCGAACATTAATAATAAGAGATGTGTATATTAATATTATTGGTAATGAACACATAAATAATGAATATTTAGATATGCTATCGTTAAATGGCTTTGGCTCACTTATCAATGTATATAAAAGCCTACAGGACTCCCATTAAACAAGTCACACATTTATTTGTTAAATGTAGTGATTAAACTTTTCTAAATAATATTCAAACAGGTGTTATTCAAATCGACATAACAGACCACTGTCCAATAATTGCATCAATCCCATTAGTAAAATATGACCATTAAAATATTAATATCATAAAAAATATAAATTACGGCTTAATCAAATATTATCTGGAGAAGGAGACTTGGGACTGTGTTTATATTTTATGATGAGGTTAATATTGAGGTCTCAGTTAAGAATTTTTATGACAAAATAAATTGCATTATTGAAAAATTTACAAGTGAAACAAAGATAGTATCAAACAAAAAAAAGAATTAAATAATGGATAACTGCAGGTTTGTTGTGTTCCATACGAAAATAAATTAGCTTTCAATAAAAATTTTAATAAAAAACCGTGTGTTTATAATTCAACATTTAAATATTATAAACTATATAGGAATAAACTTAATTCACTTATAAGAGGGGCCAAAATTTATTTTTACAAAAGTAAATTTAACTCAGTATCGCATATTCAAAAACCTACATGGAAATTAATAAATAAATTAATAACGGGTAATAAGGCAATTAATAATTAAGAAGAAAATGCTTAGCAATTGATGATAACATAATAGATGTTCTAAAATGTAACTAAATCACAAAATAACTCTACCTCCAACTCAGAAGGATTGAAATTCAAAACATGGTTTCTCATACGTAGTTTATACTGAAGCCAATAAACTACAAATTCAGGTGTGGAGATCGTGTGACATAAACGTAGCACGCTACTCGAGATTTTCCACTTCGAAGAGAATTTATGAATCATAAATATGTATTAATAAGTAGGTACCTAGCCATTAATTGTATATAATTTACC